TGTGTTTTAGTCACACATTATTACGTATATATTGATACGAATGGTGGCTTTAACAAACTTTATGAAAAATTGAGAAAATGAAGATCGGTAGCTGCATAGATGCTGAGATGTGCCATTGAAGTGACAAATGTTTTTTTACTGGATAGAGGCTGATAATTGAACGTAATTAAAAGTCGAAAATATCTGGCTCCGATATTTCAGAGACCATGGTGCAGCAATTAATAATAGACACAAAACAGGAATTCCTTTCGTCTATCACTTAAATACTAAAGAGAAAATATTGGAATTGGAGCCAACCTGACTTTGACAAATCTAATTCTTGATACTTCTAGAAGGGAGTTTAGATATTGTGCAAGAAAGATAGGGAGTGTGATCCAAGAAAGAATTTTTATCCAGTAATATAAAAGATAAGGATTGTTGTGGAAGAATTATTTAACGTGTCTTATTATCATGGTTAAAAAAGAGACAACAGTTTACTGCAGCAACAAAGTATTTTGTAGTAATCTAAGAACAACAAAGTGTTTCATGGTACATCAACAAAGAAAAAAAGTACTTTGTAGTATATCTAAGAACAACAAAGTGTATCATGGTACATCAACAAAGAACAAAATATTTCGTAGTATATCTAAGAACAACAAAGTGTATTATGGTACAACAACAAACAATAAAGTATTTCGTAGTATATTTAAGAATAACAAAGTGTATCATGATACATCAACAAAGAACAAAGTATTTCGTAGTATATCTAAGAACAACAAAGTCTATCATGGTATATCAACAAAGAACAAAGTATTTCGTAGTATATCTAAGAACAACAAAGTGTATCATGGTATATCAACAAAGAACAAAGTATTTCGTAGTATATCTAAGAAAACCAAAGTGTATTATGGTACAACAACAAACAATAAAGTATTTCATAGTATGTCTACGAAAATATTTGGCTCCGATATTGCAGAGACCATGGTGGAGCAATTAATAATAGATACAAAAGAGGAATTCCTTTCAGATAATTTTCTATTCACCAAGTGTTTCATTGTATATTTTCAAACAACAAAGTATATCTTAATATATCTACGAACAACACAGTGTTTCTTAGTATATTAGTATATCTACGAACAACACAGTGTTTCATGGTATATTTACAAACAACAAAGTATTTCGTAGCATATCAACGAACAACAACGTATTTCATATTATATCTACGAACAATACAGTGTTTCATGGTATATTTACAAACAACAAAGTATTTCGTAGCATATCAACGAACAACAAAGTATTTCATATTATATCTACGAACAATACAGTGTTTCATGGTATATTTACAAACAACAAAGTATTTCGTAGCATATCAACGAACAACAAAGTATTTCATATTATATCTACGAACAATACAGTGTTTCATGGTATATTTACAAACAACAAAGTATTTCGTAGCATATCAACGAACAACAAAGTATTTCATATTATATCTACGAACAATACAGTGTTTCATGATATATTTACAAACAACAAAGTATTTCGTAGCATATCAACGAACAACAAAGTATTTCATATTATATCTACGAACAACACAGTTTTCATAGTATATCTACGAACAACAAAGTATTTCAAGCATATCTACCAGCAGCTAAAACCAAACAGAAATCAGTGACTGTCAGCACTTTCTTTCCTTGTTTATATATACACAAGAGAAAAGCGACACTACGAAACTTTAAGAATGTAAAGTCTCACATTGCTCAAAACAGTTATTATTAATAAAAAATTATATATTTCCAAACTATAATAGATGAAAATTGTCATAACATATTGTAAGTCTTTGGTAAATGGACTGATTCGCTGTAGCCGAGTATAACACTGTACGCTGCAATGCGAGTCGTATGCACCACTGGTGCTAGACACGAACTCAATGTTAAAAAAAGCAATAACCCGAAGAAAAACAAATTATATCGAATCACAAAATTTCCTAAGAAAACCGCTACCATACTCCACCCCCGGCTCTTCTGGTTAATGACCCTGTCTATCATACTATACAGAGACAACTTCCAGAAACTTCATTACACGCCTGACCCTCGATCTCCTTCAGCTATTTCCCTCTTTGAAGGCACACAACTACAGTCTATGGTTTGTTGTACTTCTCAGATAATTTTCTATTCACCAAGTTATCATTGATTCTTCTGCGTTGCATTAAACTGAAATAACGGGCTCAAAAAAGTACTAATTGCACTAATTATTCCGAAACTGAGTTGAGTACTCCACGTACATGTTGGGAGAAAAGTTTAAATTATATTTCATAGCACTGTAAGTTAAACGTCTCACAAAGTTCATAATATTCGAATGCTTGGATCTCCTGTTGAGTAATATATGAAAATTTGCCATAATGTGAAATAAAACATTATTTTCACGGTGGACTATTTTATGCTTCCACAATATGGCAGCAACTACAATAGATTACGATTCTCTGAAACAACAGCGTTGTTGCTGCTGTTGTTTCTGACCAGTGCAAACCATGATACCCCCCCAAAAAAAAAACAATTGAACAAAAAAATTAATTTAGACGGGTAGGCCGTATGCACTAATAAAACTTGTGAAAATATGATTTATTCCACTGATACAGGATTGAACACCATACCTTCAAATCTTCTCTATACTCTGTTGCAAGTGACCATTGTCTGCACTGAACTTAGTATATATTTGTTTTTCATTGCGAAGTTCCATTTTCCGGTTACACGTGACTGTCTTATTTGGTGGGCTCCAGATTGCAATAGCAAGTTAGATAATTCAGTAAAATGTTCGATGGAGGAACATAACCCAAAGTCATGACGCGAGTTTGACATACGGTAACAGTTGTCACTTGTTCATCACAGCTCCTTTAACAATTTGCCAAGATACCCCAGTTTTTGTGGGCTTCTGTGGGCATCTGAAGCCATCCTTAAACCAATCTGCAATATTTGCAAAATTTGTCACTGAATAAGACATAAATGTTGTTGTTGGAATAAGCTTTGAGATCATTTGGCACTGAGGGTAAGTTTGACACATAATACGTCTGAATATGCAAGTAATATCAAATTCATTAATTGTCAGGGAACTGCCTATTCGGAGATTTCATGATCCTCTCTGACATACAAGTAGATCACCTGCTTTGAGGGTTCTAGTAAAGGAGGTAATAATTTGGTATTATTAGCTTAACTAGTTTCGCATCTTTTCCTTCGATTCATTACCTTCGAATAGAGGAAGAAGCTAGGTGCGTCTTCAGTAAATACTCGCTTTTACACCTTGTGACCCTGTTCTTCGTAAGAAGCATATTAAATCCAATTGCCCATAGTAACATGGTAGCTGCACATTTTCTGTCTCTGAAATTTTGGTTTGATCTATGTGTCTGCGTAAAAGTTGGGAATGTGAATGTTCGTTGTGTGCACTGGAAATTTTATCTTTAGTCACTTTTTCTGTTGGAGGCTGTCGTCCATTTAAACTGTTAATGTCAACCGACACTTCTAGTGAATTGCTCCAAACTTACCTTGAATTCATCCAGTTTGGCTGTTACTAAATGGTTGACGTCATTGTTAGCTGCCAGTAAAGAAGGTATAGTACAGTAAGCTTCGTTGTCGCCTTTCTCAGATTTTTTTAACAACTACTAGATCTGTATTAGTATTACCGTGTGAATGGCCGATGTTTTGCGAGTCCTTTAACACCTTGTATGTCCAGAAGCGATTTAGTCATGTCTAAAACTAGCGTCATGACTTTGGGTTATGTGCTTTAGCATTGTGCAAAATTAATTATTTTAATAAATATTTATGTAAATGTGCTGAAACTTTGCTAACTATTCTCCCCAGGTTCACCGTTATTTCCTATTTATAACATTTGCATCATTGGATGGCTTTCGTCACTATTCTTCTTTAATCCAACAATTGTGAAAAAAACAACCCACATAAACAAGCAGTAGATGGTTGACCCATCAAATGAGCCATTCACTGGAAACTTATAGTACGACATACGTCTCGGAAGAGTAGCTACTAGATCTACTCTGTTTTGAGATCCACGAAAATCAATAAATAAAATCAATGTATGATCGATAGCCACTGAAAGTACATACAGTTTCTTCACACTTAACTAGTAGAAGTTCTCCCCAAAAACTACCACTAAGCTAAAATCTTCCTGAGGAGATCACTGAACACAATACAGTGTTGATGTCAAAGCCTGGCATTGTTTAAAAACACGTAGCGTGCTTGAAAAAGTTAAAAAGGAAACGTTCAACAGAGACTTCACGTGAAATATATCAAAAGTTGTTAGATCACACGCATACATAATGATGTCCATAAGTATGAATTGTGACAATATCCTGTCAGTCTGAGAATTTTAACAACTGAATGCAAGAGAAAAAAAACCATGTTGGGAATTACAAACCAGGCTCATCAACCGAAACCCAATTGCCTGTATATGAAGACAGTTTTGTTGGTAACGAAAGCGCAATGGCTGATATATTAGCTTGTTGTTGTCCAACGAAACTCGTAAATATCGACGTTATCCTCAAGAATTCTTATTAAATTTTGATGATGTCCATTTAACATATTTTGTCATGACTTCTTCGATATCAGTTATTGAACAAGTTATCTTAAATATTGTGACGAAAATAAAATTAATGATTATTTACGAGGTGTGTGCTGAATTCATTAAAGAAGATCTCACAGAACGAGATTTAAGTGTAATATATCTAGAAGTAATTCTTATTAAGTCAACTTTAATTTACGGCTTGATTTGAGACACGCACATGACAATTGAGTTACTGGTAAAAGACATACATATCTAACCTTCAGCAATTTGCACATAGACGCATAAAATGTACATTTACTTTGTTTTAAAAACACAAATAAGTATTAAGAATAAGGAATTTAAATCAGTCGGATTTAAACATATACATGGCATAAACCCAGTTCATTTAGTAAAAATCATAACACGATTGTATAATAAAAACTGAATGTAATTACTTGTCTATTAATATTTACCACTTCGGTGGCCTAGTGATTAGAGTGTCCGCCTCGGATGCGGGAGGTTGTCGGTTCGTTCCCCAGCTGAGTCAAGCCAAAGATTTACAAAATGGTACTCTCAGCTGCTTCGCTAGGTGCTCAGCGTTAAGAGGTTAATGTTAGGACTGGTTGGCCCATTGTCAGGATAATGTGACTGGGGGAACATCATGCTGCATGTCTGTGACATGATGCTCCAGTGCTAGATATCATTATAAACTGCCACGCTGTAGACATCGTAGCGATATGACTAAATAAATTTTAAAGCTACGTTAAAAATCAAAGTCACACACACACACACTCACACACACACACATTGTCGTTATCTGTCTAATATTTATGCCTAATGAGACTTGCAACTGGAAATAGTTATTCAAAGATGACAAAGAAGACAGAGTAAATGCGGTAGATCCAAATGATAAATTAGATTCAGGGTTAGTTTTGCTTATAGATATTGTTCAAGGCACTAATACTCTGCTTCTAATACACGACTGTACTATCTTAGATGATCCAAAGAGTAAGGCAACAAATCTAAACATTTAGCATTACGAATTTGAAATTATGGTTTATCAAGGGGTGAGGGGTGGGGGGTGGGGGGTAAATGTAAAAAAAATATACAACTGATCATGATTCGTTGAGAATATCATGCTTTAGTCCGTGGACCATAACTGTTCTAAACGATACATGAACTTGAATGAGTACAGATTTTACAGTGATAATGGTCACAATTTGCATAAATCGTTAGATGATATTGAACCATCCTTGAAGAAAGCCCTGATTTGAAAAATTGGACAATATGGTTCTGGTAAAGTACAGCTGAACTTAGTTAAGGAGTGTAGGACAACTCCCACCGGGCATTTCCACCCCGACATATCCCCCTCAGACATTTCCACCATGGACACATCCCCCATATTAAAAAGGACTTCTTTCCCCCAGTCATCCCCCCAAATGATCTTAAAACTTAATTCATTTAATCTGACTTTTTGCCAATAAAAATAAAAACTTATATTAAGTTATGTTAAAAGCAAAGGTTATTTTAAATAAATTTCAGTAGTAAATGTTAAAGTCAACATTTAAGTACGGTATTCTATGACATCACGATTGTCGACGTCGGCAACTCTTTACAGTTCTCGAAGAACAGTCTTTGTACTTCTTTGGTTGTTACATCATAATCCCCTTATGTCGACCTCTGGCTGGAGTACTAAACTGCAACAACCACAATTAATTGAACGATGGCCAATTCATCTGTTGTTTTTCTTAAATATACCAAATATGCACAATAAATAAAGGTTAGACTCAAGCCTCTTCAACATACTTCAAAGAAACCACCTATTCTACATTCAGTAAAATCACTAGCAACTGAAGGACAAATAGACAAAGCCCATTTTTGTGATAATTGATAATGCTTAAAAATGTGTGTGAATTTAGGTTCGTAGTTCAAATATGGTGTCAATATACCCTTAAGATCTGTGATTGTGTTTGTGTGTATGTGTGTGTGTGTGTGTTTGTGTGTGTGTGTGAGAGAGAGAGAGAGAGAGAGAGAGAGAGAGAGAGAGAGAGAGAGAGAGAGAGAGAAAGAGAGGTCAGGAAAGCAGATATTTTACATTTGATAATGCATTTATTTCAAGTGACAAGTCATACCTGTGCACTAATGGTGATGCGGGATGCGAATAAACATCAAAGCTAAATGTTACTTTATATAAATAAAGTGGTATAAAGATAATAGGGGAGTGACTGGGGAGAGTACTATAAGGGGAAATGTTGGAGGGGGATGTCGGGGGTGGTGTGGTGGTGGGAATGCGGAGGGATATTACCCGGGAGAGATGTCCTGATACCATCAAGAAGTATATTCAAGGAAGAACAGTATATATATATATATATATATATATATATATATATATATATATATATATATATATATATATATATATATATATATATATATATATAAAGAATACAAATCATACGGTGAATAACAACCCTTTCAAGCGTACTGGATCCACCAAGGGATCACGTGTGTCAGGGATTGATTAAAATAGATGCAATAAACTGACGACGAACAGTACGAAACTAGTAACTAACTAGCCTAAGCGTTTTCGACTCTTAATGAGTCTTTTTCAAAGGCAAATACAAAACATATATACGACAAACAAATAAGCACAAAAACGTTGTGTTTGTAAACCTCTACATGGCTGTCTCCACATGGGTTAAAACTATAAATACAACCAGCTTGTATAGACTAGTTGCGGAAACTGAAAACTGTGTATAATTCCCTAAAAGTCGACAAGCCAAAGCGACATCTATTTTTACTTTTTGTACATTTATGTAACGCAGATTATATCCCGGATATTTGATTCTATACCGGTTATTCTTATAGTAAAAATTGAAGGATAATAAGAAGATTTAGAAAATGTTAAATACTACTAGTGCATAATTTTCATTTTCTAGTCTTCTTGGTTTAGACCGCTTGGTTTCAATTTTCTAAGGCGGCGTATCCAGTATGATTCCTTTTCCTTCCTGGTTTAGGAACTCCAACTGTGGTTGTTAGCAAAAGCGATAAGTATTATATCACTGAAAGTGTGGTCAGGGGAGGAAAAGTGTTCTGCGACCGGGCTTCGATACAGCTTTTTTGTCATCCAATCAGATCTATGAAGGTTTATCCTTTTGTGTAGCTTTTCAGTTTCTCTGACGTACTGAAGGCCACAGATCTTACATGTGATGAGATAAATCACATTCTCTGTTTTGCACGTTTTGTTTGGACCATGTATGTTTAGTTTTTCTTTAGTCACTGTGCTAGTGAATGACTTGGTCTCTATGATATGTGGACAGGTTTTGCGTCTTTTATCGCCACAGGGTCCAGATTGACTAGGTTGGTTTTGACTAGCGATTGGCGTTAGCTTTGCCCTGACTAGGATGTCCTTTAGGTTTTTTGGTCTCCGGTAAGCTACTACAGGTTTGTTCAGAAGTATTAGGTTTAGTATGTCTGACGATTGCACGGTTGGCCAGTGGTTTGCGATGATTTTACCTACTTTGGGATTGTCTGGGTGATAGGTCAGAATAAATGGTATCCTATCACCCTTTTCTTTCTGTCCATATATGAGTAGGTCATCACGGTTTTAGGGAATTATTTACCGTTTTCAGTTTCCGCAACTAGTCTATACAAGGTGATTGTATTTATAGTTTTAACTTATGTGGAGACATCCATGTAGAGTTTTATAAACACAACGTTTTTGTGTTTATTTGTTTGTCGTATATATGTTTTGTATTTGCCTTTGAAAAAGACTCATTAAGAGTCGAAAGCGCTTAGGCTAGTTAGTTAGTAGTTTCGTACTGTTTGTCGTCAGTTTATTGCATATATATATATATATATATATATATATATATATATATATATATATATATATATATATATATATATATATATATATATATATATTCTGAATGGGTTAAGAAGAAAAAGTTTGTTTCAATATAGATAATACGGGGAACAAATGTTTCTTTCTCGCTATTGAGCTAATTCTCGATACTCTTGCCCAATATCCTCATAGGAAGGCAAAGTAAGATCTATTATAGATACAGTGCCGGAGTCCCAAGGAAGCATAGTAGGCACCGGCCTATGGTTACCCAGACCTTTTAAGGGCATCGCGACAACAGAACAAAATAATATTGAATTGATTTGATCTTGATAATATTTTGAGCTAATTTAGGAGGGAGAGCCGAAATTTTGACTGCCTAGGAGCTTCCACAGGGTTTAATCCGACACTGTATAGATACATTCATTGGTTTGACACATATTTAACGAGAACAAATCAACTTAAGTTTGATATATCGGTAAATGGATGTGAAATATTGATAGACACAGAGATCGGTGTAGAGGGAAATTGCATCAAATCATTTAGTGTAAATGAATCACAACAATTCCGACAGGTTGATATATCGTTCGTTTTCTTTGAAGCGGTAATAATAACTACAAAAATTGACTGTATTATTACCTGGAATGAAAGATCTATCCAGATTGATATCATCACAATTAGATATAACATAAACAACTGTTTCTGCCAAAAATGCTTGAGTGTCTTCAGTAAAAATAGTAGTTATAAAAGTACAAATGACTCTGTTATATTCATGACAACTCAGTAGATATAATGCCTAAGGAGGGATCTTCTCTAAAATTTCGAAATGATCAGTGTAATATTGTGTTTCGTAATTTTGAACGTATCATCCTTTCACAAAACTCCAATAGTTCTATGCAACGATTAGATGCATACAGGACGATGGAGATTGCCAAACTGGACAAAGCAAACTTATAAATCAACAGCGGTTTGCATGTAATTCAATTGAGTTCAAATCTGTTATGAATTCATTCACTTACAGAGTAATGATTGCACTGGTGTAATGCAAATGGTTGGTACGATAATAAAAGTAGTCTACGGTACATTAAAGCTTTAAGTATATAGTACATTAAAGCCATACATTTACGGTACATTAAAGCCTTAAGTCTATAGTACATTAAAGCCTTACATCTACGGTACATTAAAGCTTTAAGTATATAGTACATTAAAGCCATACATTTACGGTACATTAAAACTTTAAATCTATAGTACATTTAAGCCTTTCATACACGGTACATTAAAGCATTAACTCTATAGTACATTAAAGCCTTACATCCACTGTACATTAAAGCTTCAAGTCTATAGTATATTCAAGCTTTATAACTACGGTACATTAAAACTTTAAGTTATAGTACATTAAAGCCTTTCATCTACTGTACATTAAAGCTTTAAGTCTATAGCACATTAAAGACATACATCTACGGTACATTAAAGCTTTAGATCTATAGTATATTCAAGCCTTACATCTACGGTACATTAAAGATTTAAGTCTATTGTATATTAAAGCCTTTCACCTACGGTACATTAAAGCCTTATATCTGTGGTACATTAAAGCTTTAAGTATATGGTACATTAAAGTCTTACATCTACGGTACATTAAAGCTTTATGTCTATATTATATTAGAGCTTTACATCTACGGTACATTAAAACTATAAGTCTATAG